ATCTCATGGCACACTTGAACCTCTAGTTAAACTTTGTGGCACAGTTAAATTATGTTGATTAAAAAAAAAAAAAGAATAAAAAAATGTACTTACTGTGCTTTGAATCTCTTTTGAAAATAATTGAATTAATGATCTTTAAAAATTTTTGAGGCACACCTAGGTCCTCTCACAGCACACTGATTGAAAATCACTGGCTTAGAGTGAGGTTAATAACAGCCTTAAAAATATATTTGAAACTGGAGCACAAAAGCTTTCCCCTAAAATACTCAGTAATCATGGAGTTATCTTTTCCTTTTTTGAGATTTATCTTCTGTATGGAATTTTAATTGAAAGAGTGTTCCCTAAGGTATTTAGGTATAGAACTAAAAATATAGCAAGATTTGGACAGCATAAGGTTCTGGTTCTTGAACTGGGGACTGTGTTGTCTACTGCTAAGGGTGTTCAGAAACCTCATTCATTAAAATGTTGTCCAAAATGATAGGCATATTTTTTGTATTTACTTTTTGTGTGTTTGTAAAATAGCGGTTACATGAAACAAGCAATGCAAACATCTTTCTCTTTGCAGGCTACTCGACATGCAGAAATGGTGGCCATCGATCAGGTCCTTGACTGGTGTCGTCAAAGTGGCCGAAGTCCCTCTGAAGTGTTTGAACACACGGTGCTGTACGTCACTGTGGAGCCGTGTATCATGTGTGCAGCTGCTCTCCGCCTGATGAGTATCCTTTGACTCCTTAGGGGAGTCCTGTGCTCTTCCTGTGAATAGGAAGGTAGCCAGGTGCATCTCCTGTGTATGTGGAATATGTATACACTGCTGTACGAGGCACTTTGTAAAATCTAGTGTCTCTTGGCCAAAAAAGGGAAAGATTTTCAAGTAGTAAAGTTATCTGTTTCTTTTTATATAAATGATCATACAACTATTAAATAAATAAGCTAGTGGCTTGGCGCCTGTGGCTCAAGTGGCTAAGGCACCAGCCACATACACCTAAGGTGGCAGGTTCAAATCCAGCCCCGGCCCGCCAAAACAACAATAACGGCTGCAACCAAAAAATAGCCAGGCGTTGTGGTGGGCGCCTGTGGTCCCAGCTACTTGGAAGGCTGAGGCAGGAGATTTGCTTGAGCCCAGGAGTTGGAGGTTGCTGTGAGCTGTGATGCAACAGCACTCTACCCAGGGGGATAGCTTGAGGCTCTGTCTCCAAAAATAAATAAATAAATAAATAAGCTAGAGAAAGAAAAGCTGAGCGCTAACTTAAACTGTTACAAGGATAAATCAGAAATTAAGTTAAAGTAGATTATAAAATCATATGCACACAAAAAGCTTGAAGAATATACAGCTAAGTTTTGCCTTTGGATAATGGATTATGGATGATTTAAATTTCTTTTTCTCTGCTAATTTTTTTTTTCTTGCCATGAATACTTTTTACAATGTATAAAAAATTTTGTCAAGAGTAAATAAAGGCTGGGTGCAGTGGCTCGTGCCTGTAATTTCAGCATTTCAGCAGACCAAGGGAGGAGAATTGTTTGAGATCAGGAATTCTAGATTAATTTGGACAATATAGTGAGACCCTATATTGAGTCTCTATAAACAATGTGGTGAGGTGGGCATGGTAGTGCACGTCTGTAGTCCTAGCTCCTGGGGAGGCTGAGGCAGGAGGATTACTTGAGCCCAGCAATTGGAGGCTATAGTGAGCTATTATTGTGCCATTGCACTCCAGCCTGGACAATAGAGTGAGACTCCATCTGTTAAAAAAAAAAAAGGAAGAAGTAAATGCTTCTAATAATTGTAAGTAAATGGAAAATTAATAGTTACAGCCCTTAGGATTATGTCTTTCATAGAGAGAGCAACATAAATACTGAGTACAATCAGTCACTAAAAATCTTTTTTTAAAATTTCAGATTAATATGAGGGGACATACAATTAGGTTACATGGTTTGCGTTTCTCTTTCACCCTCTAAAGATCTTATTAAAAAGTGTTTGAAAATTCAAAACCAAGTTTCATACTTGCTTATTTTTTATACTTATTGTACTATGTATACGCAAATAATTTTATCACTTAAAAATAATGCAGAGGTTTTTTTAAGTACAATAAAATGTACAATCTCTATAAAAAAGATAGTTCATTGCCAGCATAGAAATCTCTCCTCATCCTGCCTTACAGAGTGGCTTAGCTTTAGTCTGCTTTATATTGGGCACAGGTTATGTTTTATTTGGGGAAAGAACAGGGAGCAATCTGTTATTTTTAAAAGGTGAAAATCACTGGATTAAATTTCTGCCTCTGTTCTGGCTGCCATTCTCTAATGGCTCTGAAAACATGATTCAGGAGAGAACAGAGAGCCCCAAACTGAGCAGTGACCAGCTGCGTCTTCAGCTTCGTTTTGTTTACAGTTGTTTGATGTTAATTTCTAAATACTTTAACCCTTTTTCTTTGGTGTAATTGGATTTTATGATTTTTAAGACTAATCCCACACATAACTATTTTGAGGAGTGGCATGAGCTTCCCTTTCCAGAACAGCGAGTGTGAACCTATCCTGATTTTGTCACAAAATACATTTGAACTGCACATTCTATGCAGGACCTTAATTCTGTCTTAGAAATCCCGCTGGTTGTATATGGCTGCCAGAATGAACGATTTGGTGGTTGTGGTTCTGTTCTAAATATTGCTTCTGCCGACCTACCAAATACTGGGAGACTGTTTCAGGTAATACCAACTGCTTTATACTTTTTTTTGTATCTACTTTTATCTCATTGTGGGCTTGTGAATAGTTTGTGTAGTTGGTCAGACCCCTGGAATCTCTGGACCTCTGGTTGAGTTCGTATATGCCTTGGTATAAGACGACAGGTCGTAGTCTCTAGGTGAGTGCCTGCCTCTCTTCATTCACAGAATGTCTCTTGAAGGAGAGTCTCTAACTTTCCCAAGTGACCCTTCACCAACACATTCAGGTATGTTTAAAGGCATTCTTGCTATTGGAGTTTTTGTTCAATGAAGGTTACCAGCTCTGTGCTATCCAAATGGTAAAGCTTGGCCTCCGTTGGGGACAGTAGATGCTATTTACAATGGACACAATATTTTTGCACAAATTTAATCATTTTGCTTGACTGTCACATGCTACTTTTAGTATCTAGCAATCAGCCACTGAATTTTCATGTTTTTTTTTTTTTTTTGGCCGGGGGCTGGGTTTGAACCCACTACCTCCCGTCTATGGGGCCAGCGCCCTACCCCTTGAGCCACAGGCACCGCCCAATTTTTACGTTTTTTTTCCTGCCTTTTTAATGTTAAGATTTACCCCAGACCCAAGATTGCATGTTTTTAATCTTTTAGAAATTCTCCTCTCCCTTTATTCTTGCCACTTCTTCTGAAGTGTTTATGGTTAAGACTATGAGCGTTAGAAACATATTTTTCAGAGCTTGGCCTGTGGACACATATCAGTTTTTGTCATTGGTTTAGTTGTTTTTCTTTCCAAGATGTAAGGTTAATCCCAAAATATTATGCTTTAAAAAAAAAAGGGATTGAACAAATGCTGGACATAATGGGAAGTTTACTTCAAAGACCACAGCTATTCCCAGAGTATTATACGGACTGGGAAGGGCTAAATTTGGCCGAATCCCACTGAGAACCGGCTTGGTCAAACGTCCGGCTTGTGTTTTCCCGGCTGAGCCTCAGCTTTCCTAACAACCCCAGGACATGTGAGAACAGACACATTTTAACATCACATCGGAAGAGAAATTGTAAGAGAATGATGAAGAGTAAAGAATACAGTTGCTTGACCACTGAAGACATCTACAAAATGATCTGATTTTTCCAGTTGTTTCCAGTAGTAGCTCAAATTTTGCTTACGTAACTCTTTGCCAATGAGTTGCTCACCTTGTATTTCCTTCGTGAGGATGATCTAAAGAATTTCTCAAAGCTTATGGGGAGAATGAAGATGAATCCTCGGATGTCAGACATGGGCACAGCATTTCTCTCCAACAGGTCAGGGACACGAGAGCACAAACTCAGTCCTCTCTTCCACATCTCTGCAGAGTCCCTGTGGCCAAACCAAGAAAAGACAAGTTCATTGCATTGCACGTACCTGGCCACCTGGCTGACGTGTGGATGATGCCCACAGCTGAAGCCACGTATCTGTGTTTGATGCCAAATTACATTTTGAGATTCTATAGAAAAAACACTGAGGCCTCAGGCTTCTAGATGTTGTTTTCTTTTTTATTTGGCTGAGTTTAGGGGGTGGGGAGTGATTGGGAGGTGGAGTGCTACTTTCTTGTTGCAGAATTATAGATGCTTTTTATGCACTGTAAGTAGCATAAAAGGTAGAGACCTCTGGAACTCTTCTTTCCAATGAAGATAGTGATTTATTTATAATCACTACCTGCTCTGTTTCAAAAAAAAAGTTTTATTAAGAATCTGTGTTTTTTATTAAAACCATAAATTTCTAGCTATAATGGATACTTGAAAATATTATCTTGGTATCTTAGAGCCATACACTTTTCTTCTCAGCCTACAACTCAGTGGTTCTCATCTTTGACTGTGTATAAACATCACCTGGAGAGCTTTTTCTGTCTGGCTGTGCTCCGTCCCTGCCCGTGCTCCGTCCCTGCCCCAGACCAACAGAATCAGGAGGCAGATAGTGGTCTGTTTTCAAAGAGCTCCCAAGCAAGTCTACAGAGCAGCCAAGGTTGAGACCACTGCTCTGACTCCATGTGCGAGGACAGGGATCTGAGCAAGTGGAAGAGACAGATGGGAGCGCTGCGGAGCTCCAGCACAGATGGCAGAAGCAAAGGGCACTGGGGAGGGACTGGCCAGTGATGGTTAGGATGCTGGAACCCTGGCAAGCCAGGGAGGGGAGAGGCTGAGAGAGGGCAGGTGCCATCAGTAGTCCGTGCATCTGCAGAGGTGAGGAGGTGGAAAGAAGATCAGGGGTTTGGTCAGTAGGGGCCCTTGGGGTACCTGAGAGGGCAGCTTCAGTGGAGGGCCAGGAGCACAAGACAGTGAGGATGAGGCCGAGGAGGAAATGAGAGCAATAGTGAAGTCTGGAATGTTCTCAGAAGGAGCAGCTTGGGAGGGGGCAGGTTATTTGCTGTCATGGGGAGGTTTTTGCAGGCTGTGGAGCCCAGGCCAGGAGAGACTGAAGACAGGTGAGACAGGGACGTTCACTGTGAACGGCGACCCAGAGCGGGTGGCCCCAGGTGAGGACAGACTGTAGAGAGGTGAGACAGGGATGTTCACTGTGAACAGCGACCCAGAGCGGGTGGCCCTGCCTCTGTGCCTGCGTTCCCTGGCTCCTTCCTTTCCTCTGGTGCTTTCAGGTGTTGTAACATTTCATGTCCTTCAAGAGGGTCGAGACTCTTCTGATGAGCCTTCAAAGCCCTATGGGTTTTTTTTGTTCTTGGAGACAGAGTCTCACTGTGTCACCCTCAGTAGAGTGTATGGCATCACAGCTCACAGCAACCTCCAGCTCTTGGGCTTAAATGATTCTCTTGCCTCAGCCTGCCAAGTAGCTGGGACTACAGGCTCTCGCCACAACACCTGGCTATTTTTTGGTGCAGTTGTCATTGTGATTTAGCTGGCCTAGGCTGGGTTCGAACCCGCCTGCCTCGGTGTATGTGGCTGGCACTGAGCCAAAGCCCTGTGTGTTTTGACACCATTTTATCTCTTTAACGTCCTTCCTTACGCTTTCCTAGGAATCAGCTCCCCCCGACATCAGTTGGTTTACTCAGACACACTGAGCTTATCCTTTCCCTTTCCTTGAAACGCTCTGCTTAGCCTCTTTCAATCTTCCCTGCTCTCAGGCGAGTTCACGTTTCATCTCCATGAAATAGTTCACCTAATATTGCTCCTTACAGGTATCACGATTTCTTATTTATTCTTTCACGTTTTGATCTTTTCACTCTAGTTGGATCCCAAAGATAGAACAAACTGAATATTTACTGAAAGAATTCTCTAGAGCAAGGATTGACAAACTGTTCTGTAAAGGGACAGATAATAAATATTTTAGTGTTTGTGAACCAGTTTATGTCTCTTTTGCAGTCTTTTTAACAACTCCATAAAAAATAAAAAAAATTCTTAGCTCCCCATTCTTAGCTGTGGACTGGATTTGATCCACCAAGTATAATTTACCAACTTGGCCTCTATAGCACTGAACACTTCATGGACCACCAGTAAATAACAGCAGATAAAAATAGCTAACACTTAATGAGCACTTACGAGGTGCCAGACGTTTAGCAGGGATTATCCCATTTAATCTTCACAAAATCCCTTTGAGCTAAGTACTGTTATCACCTATATTTTACAGAAGAGGCATAGAGGGTTTAAGTACTGTACTCAAGATCACACAGCTGGTAACTTCAGTAATAGTTGATTAATAAATAATAATTAATTGGGAGTGATGTTTGAGGCTGTATGTCTGTTCTTTTGGAAATGTACCTCCTTACCAATTGTGTTACTAATATCCTCAAAGTTTATTAACATTATCTAAAGTATTCTTACATAATGATTATTACGTGTACATTGCTATTTTATGTGATAGGACACACATTGTCATACATCTGCTTTTATTCTCAACCTTCTCATTTCATCAGTGCATTCCTGGATATCGGGCCGAGGAAGCAGTGGAAATGTTAAAGACCTTCTACAAACAGGAAAATCCAAATGGTCAGTTTCTCCATTGCATAGAATTACCCTCCCTTGCAACAAATCCTATGATGTCTGGCATGAGCCTTCCTCTTCATTTTCTCTTTTTCTTTTCTATTTTCATAGCACCAAAATCAAAAGTTCGGAAAAAAGAATGCCAGAAATCTTGAACTTGTTCCGATAATACGTCACAGTGACCTGGACAAAATTCTTGGACTGAAAGCTGTTGACATCATTGATTCATGTATTTCTATATTGTCAGTCACCCATGGGAAAGTGGTGTCTCTCATCATTCGTTCTGGAAAGGGAACAAATTAGCACTTTTAAAAAGTCTGACGATTGTAAACAGCTATTAGCTTTTCCACAAGTTAAAAGAACATTCTAAGAAGGGGAAAAATTAAGGTTTGAGGTTTTAGAAATTAGCAAGCCCTGCATGCCCTCCCAGCCACAGCGTTATGCCCTGCCCGGGCAAGTACTAATTTTTCAGAGAATGCGAACCAGACCCAGGTACCTGGTGTGTGTCTGGACCATGGTGTGCCGCACTGCAGACATGCCCTCCAGGACTGGCATTCCAGACTCAGCTTCTCTGGTTTTGGCAGCTACTGTGTTCTCCCAGCGCACTGGGGGGCTGTGACTGCTCCCCAGATTGTGTATAGAGAGACCATAGTCATATGGTCCTTACAGCAGGTCTTTGCTTTTATAAAGCATTTAAAGGAAATGCATACTTTTAAAACAAGTGCTTGAGTGTCATTTTGAAACTATAGCATATTGCTATAATAAAACTTTATTTATGCCTTCTTTGAAGATGAATAGTCTTAAAAATAAAAGATAAAAACAAAACTGGGACAATTTCTTGTTATCGAGCCACTGTGCTCTGCCAAGCGAGTCTAGCTGGATCTGTGAGCAAAACAAAGAATCTTGTCTTGCGGAGCTTGTATTTTAGCAAGGGGAGACAAACTATAAGTAGGATAGATTACACAGTTTATTGGATGGCGGAGAGCGGAAAGGAGCACAGGGTAGAGGAAGGAGATGGGTGTGCCGGTTGGTGGGAATGCTGGTTTCAAACTTAAGCTGAATGGTGAATGTAATCTGAAATGGAATGCTATTTTCTTTTTAAAAAATTCAGACAATGAATTGAAAATTCAGAATCTAAATGTAAAACTATGAACACAACACTGAAGGGGTATCCACAGCAGGAAGTCCCAGGCAATGGCCTTTCTGGCCTCAGTAAGGGCTGGCCCTGATGAAAAGCAGTTTTGCGGAGCTCTGTGCTGGGCGCACTGTGCGCCTCTGCCCACAAGGGGGCGGTGCCGCTCCACCAGACGCCCAGCCACGGGCCTTGCAGCGCCGCTCCATCTCTGTCGCATTTCTTCAATGGATTCATTTCCTTGATGCAAAGCATCTGTATTTGTTGGTTCTGCCATTTGAGCGATGTCTCTGACTTGTTTGTTTTGAATTACATTACAGGCTGGAATGTAATTGTGGTGAAAGTATTTTTATATTGCTGAGAGTAGCAGCTAATCACAGTTACATGCTTCAGAGGGTTTATAATTGGTTGGTTTTGTGCATGTGTTTTTTTTAACTGCATTCGAGAAGTTTTATGGAGGAGAATATGCATGATTTTAAAAATCTTACGACAGTCTTACATGCACCTTCTTGTCAATTTCATCCACTTTAAAAATTATCTTCTCATTAAATTTTAGTGCCCTGACTAGTTTGTTCTTTTTTTGCAAGAACAAATTCATAATTCATTTCTGGCTTCTTCTGCTTTCCTGCAAGCAGATTTCACTTCATTTATCGTTTTAATGCCATTTTCTTGGGTAGTATTTGTAGGACAAACAACCTGGAATCTTTGCTCTACAGAGTACCACCCAGCAAATCTGGCTCAGGGTCTTATGTCCACTAAGTTCTTGGTAAACATTTGTTAAATAAAATTCTTGACTGAAATATGGGGGGAAATGAATAACAAGACTATCTAGGAGAAAAAGTCAAAGCCAAAAAGAGTATGTGGGTATTTTAGCTTACAGATGGTCACTGGGGAAGAATCAAGAAAACAAAACAATACACAGGAGAAGGTAGAGAAGACTTAGCAATGTCTTACGTTTTGTCTTTGTTGTCTTTTGGAGAATGGGTACATAGTATTTCTGATTCCTGAGCATGGCTGAACAATTTAATTTTGGTTGACCACCTCCTATCCCCAGTGAATCGCTTTTAGAAAAGTCTGTCCTAAATATTTAGACTTATCTGGGGTTCCCTCCATTGCACCTCCAGTGCCCATGTGGGACTGCTGTGGGTGTCATGGACACTAGCTCTACTGAATTCTGATGTTAGTTCCAAAACGATGGTGAGGAATCGTGGACATATGATGAGGTGATCTGGCTTCCTGATTGCTATAACCTTCAGCTACATAAACACGGCTTAAAATGTTAAATCGTCCCAGTTCAAAAGCTTGAATTCAGTTGATTGATACTGATAATGCCTGTCCAAGATACCAGCTCAGGAACTTGTTTTGTGTGTGAAATATTTCTGGAAGTTGTGGAATAGAAAAAGGACTTAGAATCACTGCCCTGTTTAGAGAAGTTAGGGGGAAATGATTACACCTAAGCTGTTGGAGTTAACCAGTGTTTGCTGGTCTTGTAACAAACTGCTGAGAATGGGTGGTATGTAATGCTTTGGCAGGCTTCAATCACCGATAAAAGATTATGTTAAAATATCTTTTGCTCTTTCTTGTTACTTGGCACAGACATCTCTTCCTGTGTTGTATTTGGAAAATCATGGAGAGAAAATAAATAGCCAAGAACTCCAGTGTGGGCAAGCACTGTTAATTTTTCTTTAAACTTTTTATTTGGAAAGTTATATACATCATATATCATGGCCCTTTACTCGGAAATGCTTCATTATTTCATAAGCATAGGCTATTCTCTTATGTAATCACAGTGCTGTTATTTACATCAGCAAATTTAACGTTACTTTTTAGCTAATCTACCATTTGTATTTCAATTTTGTCAGCTGGCCTAGTAATGTCCTTTAAACACTTTCCCCCACTGCCCTATAATACGAGATCATTCGAGATCAGTTTTGAGTTTTGTTGTTTTTTTATCTTTAGCTTTCTTTTAACACAGAATGTTTTAATAGGCTTTCATTGTTTTCTAAGATATTGACATTTTAAAATAATATAGTATTTTTTTTTTTAAATAATAGCATGGCTGCCATTTTGAATTTATTTGGTATTCTCTTAGGATTAGATTCAGGTCTGCAATCTGGATGATGTTATGTTCTTCTCAGGATATCACATCAGAAGCACATAACCCCGTCTGTCCCCACTGGTGATATTAATTTTGGTCATCTGGTCAAGGTATTGTCCTGTTTACTCACTATGTAATTACTTTTTGTTCTCTGTCGTGATAAATAAGCAGTCCATTGTAAGAGGAACTATTACATTTTTAAAAGAAAATGTGTTTGAGGGCGGCACCTGTGGCTCAGAGGAGTAGGGCGCTGGCCCCATATACCAGAGGTGGCGGGTTTAAACCTGGCCCCGGCCCAAAAAAAAAAAAAAAAAAAAAAAACTGCAGAAAAACAAAAGAAAATGTCTTTGACACTGATGGGAAGGAGGGGAGGGAACCTAGATAGACGGTTCAAAGCAGCTGTTAAATTATTTGATCGCATTCCTCTTCTTTTACTGTATCTGCCAAAATTCACAATTTTTTTCTAATAAGAATATTTTAAGGAGCAATGTCTTAATAAAAATTAGAAGAAAGCCTCAGAAATGTGTTCTTTCTGATTTCTTCCTCAGCAAAAGTAGTAATTATGTAGATTTCATGATGTTTGATAAGATGGGGTTTGGGGCACATGGGTCTAAGCGGCTTCTGATGTTGCAGATGGCCTGTGGTGGCCACCTGGGGGGCAGAGCTGTGGGTAGGTCGTCATTTGGCCATAAAATATGAGTTCTCTTAGGTTTCCATAGAGACACCTAGACTTAACATGTTTTAAGCACTGCTACTTTCAAAATGAGTGTCAGTAAAAATAGCAGAAGCTGAGGCTCTTTAAAAAAAAAAAGCCATTTTAATGTTTTAACAAGTGATGTAGGTTCCCTGTTAAAAATCTCTGACGAAGACAAAGGTTGTCCTTCCAGGCATTCAGCATCAACTGGCCTTGAATAGCCCCAGGTAAAAGGAGCATCAGGAATTGGTTTCTCTGCCTCTTGGCAGAGGAAGGCGCCTACACTGACTTCACCCGCCAAGACACCTGCCAACTATTTCCTGACTTCGTAAATTGCTAATTTTGTGTAGTGAGGAAAGGAGTGATGGGTGATGGTATTTTTATGGGTAAGCCTGGTATAAGTACTGCTGAAAGTTTGACATCTTTAGGATATTAACATATTTTCAGATTAAGCTAATAAAAACAGGCTCATGAGATTATTTCTCCTCTGATTTTAAGTGGATAGCGGGCTAAACACTGCATATGCCTGACTATTAGGGAGGCTTTGTGGTGGAGTTTGACAAAAGTTCCCTCCTGGTCCAAGATTCTCAACTGGACCTCGCCCTGGGCCTCCATTTTTGCCTAATGTACATAGCCCAGTTTTAGCAAGAATCCTGCTAAATCAATCTGGACAGAATCCTCAGTGCAGTCTCCCATTCCTCACCATGGATGTGTAAGTCCTTGGCCTGCCGCCAGCCAGAGGCCTCGATGTCTCTTCTCACTGATTTTCCACCCACTGACCCCTCCCCCTCGTTAGTGATCCCCCATTTATTTTTATATTTGGAGTTCATCTCAATCTCTCCTATTGTGATAGTCTTCACACCTGTCACTGAGGCCATGAGTAAAGTCTTCCTTACCTTTTTTTTTTTGGCAGTTGTTGGCCAGGGCCAGATTTGAAACCACCACCTCTAGTATATGGGGCCGGCACCCTACTCCTTTGAGCCACAGGCACTGCCCTCTTCCTTACATTTTTAAACAAGTGTTAGAATAATTCCTTTTTTAAAAAAGTTGAACCATGAGTTTCAGACTCTAGAGCAGCAGTCCACAAAATAATGGCCCAAGGACCAATCTAGCCCATTTGCTGCCTGTTTTTTAACTACTTATGAGTTAAAAATGGTTTTTACAATTCTCAGTGGTCGACAAAAAGCAAAAGAAGGGTATTTAGTGACTTGCAAACCCCATATGAAATCAGAATTCAGTGTTCATGAATAAAGTTTTATTGGATCACAACCACACTCCTTTGTTTCTATGTTGTGGCTGCTTTTGCGCTATGGTGGCAAAGTCACGTAGTGGTGACTCAAACATGGCTCAAAAAGCCTAAAATACTTAGTGTCTGAACCTTTAATAAAACCTTAGCTCCCCGCTGGTCTAGAGAAGGTAAAACAAAGTTGGAAATCTCAGGTGCTTGTTCAAACGTGGCTCCTTGTATAGCTCATTGCTAATTGCTTCAGTGCCGTGATTTTTTTTTTTAAGTTGCTTTATAAATATGAAGGAGAGATCCAAGATGCCAAAATATTTATTATGCCCAAGGGAATTTTATTTCCTTATATGCATATATATATAAAGTGG